CCCGGGGCCCGCGGGCAGAGCGTGGTGATCTGCGAGCCCGAGCACAGCAAGGAGCGCATCGTGAGCTCGGGGAGGAGGGCGGCGGCACCCCTGGGACCCTGGTGTACCCCCCGTGCCCATTGTGCCCCATTATACACCCGCATTGTGCCCCATGAGACATCCCCACTGTGCCCCTGTTGTGCCCCACTGCACATACACACTGTGGCCCATGAGACACCCCCACTGTGCCCCTACTGTGCTCCATTACACACCCCACTGCACCCCTTGGACCTACTGTGCCCCTATTGTGCCCCATGAGACACCCCCACTGTGCCCCTAGTGTCCCCCATTACACACCCCCACTGTGTCCCCATTGTGTCCCATGAGACACCCCCACTGTGTGCCTACTGTCCCCCATTACACACCCCCAGTGTCCCCGTTGTGTCCCGTCACACACCGCCACTGTAGCCCCTTGTGCCTACTGTTCTACCCCTAATACACCCCAAACCCCACTGCACCCCTTGACCCCCATCCTGCCCCACTGCAGCCCTTCCAGCACCCCGTCATTGCCCCCATGTCCCTGCTGTCCCCGTGTCCCTGCTGGCTCTGTCCCCAGTGTCCCCCCACACCCCCAATGCCATGTCCCCTGTGTCCCCCACAGCCCCAATGTCCCCCATGTCCTCCTTGTCCCCACTGCTCCTTCTATCCCCACGTCCTTGTCCCAGATGACCCCAAGGTCCCTCACATTCTGCACATCTTCCCCCTCTTCCTGATGTCCCCAGTGTCCCATGTCCCTCCCATCCCCAGTGTCCCCAATGTCCTGTGTCTCATCCCCAGTGTCCCCAATGTCCTGTGTCCCTCCCATCTCGTGTCCCATCCCCAGTGTCCCCAATGTCCTGTGTCCCTCCCATCCCGTGTCCCATCCCCAATGTCCCCAATGTCCTGTGTCCCTCCCATCTCGTGTCCCATCCCCAATGTTCCCAATGTCCTGTGTCCCTCAAATCCCCAGTGTCCCACGATGTCCCCATGTTCCCCACATCCCTGATGATCTCCACAGCCCTGATGTCCCCAATATCCCCCACAATGTCCCCAGTATCCCCCATGTCCCCCACATCCCTGATGTCCCACAATGTCCCCTGTGTCCCCCACAGCTCTGATGTCCCCAATGTCCCCAGTATCCCCTTTACCCCCAAAGTCCTCCATATCCTCCCATGTCCCTGATGTTTCCTTGTCCCTCATGTCCCCGTGTCCCCCCATGTCCCTGATGTCCCCGTGTCCCCACAGAAGCTCGAGGGCTCCAAGAGCCGGGGGCAGCTCCTGATCTTCGGTGCCACCAACTGGGACCTGATTGGCCGCAAGGAGGTGCCCAAGCAGCAGGGTAGGGCTGCTAATTAACTGGTTAATTAGTCATTAATGAGTGGTGTGGGGCAAGGTAGGGCTGGCTAATTAACTGGTTAATTAGTCATTAATGAACCATGTGGGGCAGGGTAGGGTTGCTTAATTACCTGCTGTTAATTAGTAATTAAGGCTTTGGGCAGGGTAGGGGCTCATTAATGGCTCATTAATTAGTTAGTATTAATTAGTAATCAATGAATGGTTTGGGGCAGGGTAGGGGCTTATTAATGGCTGTGATTAATTAGTATTGATTTGAGGTTAATTAGTAATTAATGTTTTGGGACAGGGTAGAGGTCCTTAATAGCTGATTAATTAATTGGTATTAATTAGTAATCAATGAAGGGTTTGGGGCAGGATAGGGGCTCACTAATGTCTGTTAATTAATTTGTATTAATTCTTAATTAATTAATGTTGTGGGACAGGATTGGGGCTTGTTAATGACTGGGATTAATTGGTATTAATTAGTAAGCAATGAAGACTTTGGGACAGGGTAGGGGCTCATTAAGGGGTGATTATTGCTATTAATTATGTATTGGGGCAGAGCAGGGCCCCCATTAGTGGCAGTGTGATTAATTGGTGTTAATTTGTAATTAATGACCTGGAGTGGCATCTCGTACTCCGGCCAGAATTTGGGGTGCACTGGGTGTCCAGCAGAGCCACATTAGGGCTTTGTTTAGTTCTGATGCATTTATAGTTTGTTAATTTTGCTGACTGTTTTTATGTAGTTCTAATTAGTTAATCAATCAGTTAACTGGAGGAGGAGCCTCGGTTTCACCCCGTAATTGGGGCAGGTTTGAGGGGCCACCAGCTCTGCTGCAAAGCCAAATTAAGACTTTGCTTATTTTGGATGCATTTATAGTCCATCAATTGATCTTCTTTTCATTGTTTATATTTAATTAATATTAACATCTAATTAATTTTAAAGGTGGCTAATTGGGGAGGAGCCACAGTTTGATACATTAATTTAACACAGTTTAATACACCAGACCTGTGGCAAAGCAAAACGAAGACTCTGTTTACTGGGAATGTTTTTATAGTTCATTCATTTTCCTGATTATCTTTATCTATTTCTAATTAATCATTTTCATTAATTACTGGGGGAGGAACCACAGTTGCACCCCTTAATTGGGGCAGGTTTGAGGGGCGCCAGCTCTGCTGCAAAGCCAAATTAAGCCTCTGCTTCATTTTTAGTTCGTTAATTAATTCCTTCTTTTTAGGGGATATATTTAACTAATATTAAAAATTAGTATTTACATTAATTAATGTTTAAAATTAATGAGCTGGAGGAGGAGTTACAGTCTTAGGTTTTAATTTGGGCCAGAATTTGGGGGGCGCCAGCTCTGCTATGGAGCCTCTGCTTATTAGGGATGCATGGAAAGTTCATTAACACACCTGCTCTCAGCGGCACTGGTTCATTAATTAATAACTCGTTAATTGGGGCAGCAGCCAGGGCTGGACACGCTCATTGGGGCAGGGTTGGGGTGCCCCAGCCCTGCTGTGCCCCTCCCCTGTCTGTGGTTCCCCATTTCCCGGCTCTGTCCCCAAATCTGCCCTCAGCCCCTGCCCTGCGGAATCCCGGATGATTTTCCTGGATTGTTTTCCTGGATTGTTTTCCCAGTATTCCCAGATTTCCCAGGTGATTTTCCAGGATGATTTTCCTGGATCTTCCTAGTATTCAAGATGATTTTCCTGGTTGATTTTCCTGGATTATTTTCCCAAAATTTCCTGGATTTTCCTGGATGATTTTCCCAGATTTTCCTGGATTTTTTCAGATGATTTTCCTGAATTTTTCCTGGATTTTCCCAGATTATTTTCCCGGTATTCCCAGATTATTTTCCTGGCTGATTTTCCCAGATTTTTCCAGATTATTTTCCTGGATTTTCTGAGATGATTTTTTGGATGATTTTCCTGGATGAATTTCCCATACTATTTTCCCGGATTGTTCTTTTCCCGGCTGCTTTTCCCAGCTCGTTCTTTTCCCAGCTGCGTTTCCCGGTGCTGACCCCGCGCTCGTTCCCGGTGTTTTCCAGCGGCGTACCGGAACCTGGGCCAGAACCTGTGGGGACCCCACCGCTACGGGAGCCTGGGGGGGCTGCGCGTGCGCTCGGTGGTGTCGGGGCCCTGCGCCGCGCACAGCCTGCTGATCACGGCCGAGGGCAAGCTCTGGAGCTGGGGTGAGCGGGGATCCATCCCGGGAACCCAGCTGGGAGAGCGGGCTCCATCCTGGGAACCCCCTGGGAGAGTGGGCTCCATCCTGGGAACCCAGCTGGGAGAGCAGGAGCCATCCCAGGAACCCCCCCAGGAGAGCGGGATCCATCCCAGGAACTGGGCTGTGATAATGGGATCCGTCCTGGGAACCCCCTGGGAGAGCGGGCTCCATCCTGGGAACCCAGCTGGGAGAGAGGGATCCATCCAGGGAATGGGGCTGGGATAATGGGATCCATCCTGGGAACCCCCCTGAGAGAGTGGGATCAGCCCAGGAACCAAACTGGGATAGCAGGACCTATCCTGGGAACCCCCCTGCGAGAGCAGAATCCATCCCAGGAACCAGGCTGGGATAGCGGGATCCATCCTGGGAACCCCTTGGGATAGCAGGAATCCATCCTGGGAACCCAGCCGGGAGAGCGGGATCCATCCTGAGACCGCAGGTGGGAGAGTGGGATCCATCTTGGGAACCAAACCGGGATAATGGGATCCATCCTGGGCACCCCTGTGGGACAGTGGGATCCATCTCAAGAACTCCCCCTGAGAGAGGGGGATCATTGGGAAGCCCTGGGATAATGGGATCAGCGGGAACCCCTGGGATAATGGGATCAGCGGGAAGCCCTGGGATAACGAGATCAGAGGAAACCCCTGGGATTCTGGGATCAGCTGTGAGCCCCTGTGACTCTCCCAAATCCACCCCTTTCACCCCCAAAATCCTGGGAAAACTGCCCTAAATCCACCCCTTTCCCACCCGAAATCCACCCTTTTTGTCCCAAATCCACCCCTTTTCCCCAAAAATTTGGGAAAACTGCCCCTAAATCTGCCCCTTCTGCCCCAAATTCTGGGGAAATTGCCCCAAAGTCTTCCCCTTTTGCCCCCAAATCCACCCCTTTTCCGTCAAAATCTGCCCCTTTTCCCCCCAAATCTGCCCCCTTTGCCCCCGAATTCTGGGAGAATGGTCCCAAAATCCCGGTTTTCCCCCCAAAATTCCCATTTTCCCCACAGAGAGTGGCTCGGTGTTCGCCTTCGGGGAGAACAAGCTGGGCCAGCTGGGGCTGGGGAACCAGACAGACGCCGTGCCCAGCCCCACCCAGGTACGGACCCCAAACCTGGGATTTGGGGGAAATCCAGGGATTTTGGGGCTTTTAGTGACAAATTCCCTGAAAACCCCTCGGGGTGTACAATTCCCTCTCAGCCAGGAGCTGTTCCCAGCTGCGGTGGGGAGAGGAAAAGCTAGGATTTGGAAGTAGAATTTTTGAAGATTTTAGGGATTTTCTGATGGAAGTTCCTTTTTTTTTTCCTGTTTCCCAAATTTTTTTTATCCTGTTTTTCCAGCTTTTCCTGCAGATCAGGGATTTCCCATGGAAAATTCCCCTTTTTTCTCTTTTCTTGAATTTTTTCAATCCAAATTTTTTCCTTTTCCCACAGATCACAGATTTCCCGTGGAAATTCTTCAGTTTCCCCTTTTCCTGTGTTTTTTGATTGTTTTCTCCTGCTTTTCCTGTGTTTTTTTCAATCCTGTTTTTCCAGGTTTTCCTACAGATCAGGAATTTCCCCTGGAAATTAATTTTTTCCCCTTTTCCCCACATTTCTGATCCTGTTTTTACGCTTTTCCTGCATTTCTGATCTGGTTTTTCCTGTTCCAAAATTTTTCAATCCTGTTTTTCCTGCTTTTCCCACAGATGAAGGATTTCCCATGGAAATTCCCCTCTTTTCCCTCTTCCCACGTTTCTCCAATTCTATTTTTCCTGCTTTTCCCGTGTTTTCCTGATCCCTTTTTACCAGCTCTTCCCATGTCCTTGGTCCCATTTTTCCTGACAATCAGGGATTTCCCGTGGAAATTCCCCATTTTTCCCAGTTTTTCTGATCCCATTTTTCTGGCTTTTCCTGTGTCTCTGATCCCCATTTTTCCTGGCTTTTCTGATCCCATTTTTCTGGCTTTTCCTGTGTCTCTGATCCCCATTTTTCCCCTTCTCCCGTGTTTCTGACCCTATTTTCCTGGATTTTCTTATCCCTTTTCCCTGGATTTCCTGACCCTATTCCTGGTTTTTCACAGATCCTGTACAACGGGCAGCCGATCTCCAAGCTGGGCTGCGGGGCCGAGTTCAGCATGGTCATGGACTGCAAGGGGAACCTGTATTCCTTCGGGTGCCCCGAGTACGGCCAGCTGGGTACGGGATTTGGGAATCTATGGGATCACCCCATGGGAATGGGATTTGGGATCATCCCATGGGAATGGGATCACCCTGTGGGAACCTGTATTCCTTCAGGTGCCCCGAGTACGGCCAGCTGGGTACGGGATTTGGGATCATCCCATGGGATATGGGCTGGTTTGGGATCACTTTGTGGGATGGGGACAGTTTGGGATGATCCTGGGGAGTGGGGGCAGTTCGGGATCACCCTGTGGGATGGGGCAGTTCCAGATGATCCCATGGAATCAGGGCAGTTCCGGATGACCCCACAGGATCAGGGTGGTTCGGGATGACCCTGCAGGACGGGGCAGTTCAGGATGACCCCGTGGGACGGGGACAGTTCAGGATGATGGCATGGGATTGGGGCAGTTTGGGATGATCTCATGGGACAGGGGCAGTTTGGGATCACACTGGGGGATCGGGGCAGTTCAGGATGATCCCATGGGACCGGGGCAGTTCGGGATGACCCCGCAGGATGCTCAGGCTGGCCGTGCCCCGTTCCCATTGCAGGCCACAATTCCGACGGGAAGTTCATCGCGCGGGCGCAGCGCATCGAGTACGACTGCGAGCTGCTGCCGCGGCGCGTGGCGCTCTTCGTGGAGCGCACCAAGGACGGCCAGGTGCTGCCCGTGCCCAACGTCGTGGTCAGGGACGTGGCCTGCGGGGCCAACCACACGGTACAGGATACGGGAATATGGGAATATGGGATTTGGATAATGGGAGTGGGTCAAGGATGGGGTCTGCGGGGCCAGCCACACGGTACGGGACACAGGAATATGGAATAATGGGATTGGGATAATGGGAGTGGGTCAGGGATGGGGCCTGCGGGGCCAGCCACATGGTATGGGACATGGGAATATGGCATTGGGATAATGGAAGTGGGTCAGGGACAGGGCCTGTGGGGCCAGCCACATGGTATGGGACATGGGAATGTGGGATAATTGGGGCCAACCACACGGTACAGATATGGGAATATGGGATCGGGATAATGGGAGTGGGTCAGGAATGGGGCCTGCGGGGCCAGCCACATGGTATGGGACATGGGAATGTGGGATAATGGGATTGGGATAACGGGAATGGGTCAGGGATGGGGCCTGTGGGGCCAGCCACACGGTACAGGACACGGGAGTATGGGATAATGGGAATATGCGATTGGGAATATGGGATCAGGATAACGGGAATGGGTCAGGGATGGGGTCTGCAGGGCCAACCACACGGTACGGGACACAGGAGTATGGGATAATGGGAATATGCGATTGGGAATATGGGATCAGGATAATGGGAATGCGGGGCCAACCACACGGTACAGGATACGGGAATATGGGAATATGGGATTTGGATAATGGGAGTGGGTCAAGGATGGGGTCTGCGGGGCCAGCCACACGGTACGGGACACAGGAATATGGAATAATGGGATTGGGATAATGGGAGTGGGTCAGGGATGGGGCCTGCGGGGCCAGCCACATGGTATGGGACATGGGAATATGGCATTGGGATAATGGAAGTGGGTCAGGGACAGGGCCTGTGGGGCCAGCCACATGGTATGGGACATGGGAATGTGGGATAATGGGATTGGGATAACGGGAATGGGTCAGGGATGGGGCCTGTGGGGCCAGCCACACGGTACAGGACACGGGAGTATGGGATAATGGGAATATGCGATTGGGAATATGGGATCAGGATAACGGGAATGGGTCAGGGATGGGGTCTGCAGGGCCAACCACACGGTACGGGACACAGGAGTATGGGATAATGGGAATATGCGATTGGGAATATGGGATCAGGATAATGGGAATGGGTCAGGAACATGGCCTGTGGGGCCAACCACACGGTACGGGCCATGGGAATATGGGAATGTGGGATAATGGGATCGAGAAAACAGGAATGGGTCAGGGATGGGGCCTGTGGGGCCAACCACCTGGTATGGGACATGGGAATATGGGATCAGGATAATGGGGATGGATCAGGGATGTGGCCTGCAGGGCCAACCACACAGTATGGAATGGGATTGGGAATGGGAATGGGAATATGGGATCAGAAATGGGAATGGGAATGGGTGCAGGAATGGGAGAGTGGGTAATGGGAATGAGAGAGCAGGAATGGGAATGGCAGAGGAGGAATGGACGGGAACAGGAGACACCAGCTCTCAGCCTCTGCTCCCCCCATCCCTGCTGAGGCTGCATTCCCAGAAGCGTGTCTTTTCCTGGCTTTTGGGATTTGGCGTTTGGGATTTGGGGTCTCTGAGGCTGTTTTCCCCCATCCCAGCTGGTGCTGGATTCCCAGAAGTGCAGCTTCTCCTAGGGATTTGGGGTTTGGGATTTGGGATCTCCCAGGCCCTGCTCCCTCTCTCCCAGGTGCTGCTGGATTCCCAGGAATGGTCTTTTCCTGGGATTTGGGGTTTGGGATTGGGGATTTGGGGTCTCTGAGGCTGTTTTCCCCCATCCCAGCTGGTGCTGGATTCCCAGAAGCACATGTTCTCCTGGGGATTTGGGATTTGGGGTCTGGGATCTCTGAGGTCCTGCTCCCTCTCTCCCAGTTGGTGCTGGATTCCCAGAAGCGTGTCTTTTCCTGGGATCTGGGATTTGGGGTTTGGGATCTGAGATTTGGGATTTGAGGTTTGGGATCTGGGATTCTGAGGCCCTGCTCCCTCTCTCCCAGCTGGTGCTGGATTCCCAGAAGCGCGTGTTCTCCTGGGGCTTTGGGGGCTACGGGCGCCTGGGCCACGCGGAGCAGAAGGACGAGATGGTTCCCAGGCTGGTGAAGCTCTTCGACTTCCCGGGACGCGGCGCCGCCCAGATCTACGCGGGATACACCTGCTCCTTCGCCGTCAGCGAGACAGGTGGGATACGGGATTCGGGAATGCTGGGGGGGATGGCAGCAGGATAGGTGGGAATGCAGGATCTGGGATTTGGGAATGCTGGGGGAGATGACAGCGGGACAGGTGGGAATGCAAGATCCCAGCATTTTGGAATGCCAGGGGAGCCTTCAGCAAGACAGGTGGGAACCTGGGATTTGGGATTTGGGAATGCTGGGGGAGATGGCAGTGGGACAGATGGGAATTCGGGATCTGGGATTTGGGAATGCTGGAGGGGCCAGCAGCAAAACAGGTGGGAACCTGGCATCTGGGATTTGGGAATGCTGGGGGACAGCTGTCAGTGGGAGAGGTGGGATTCCCAGGATCCCAGGATTTGGGAATGCTGGGCAGGCTGTGGGATTCCTAGGATCTTGAGATCTGGGAATGCTGAGGGAGCTGTGGCCTGACAGGTGGGATTTGGGAATGCTGCAGGAGAGCCAAGACAGGTGGGAATCTTGGGATCCCAGGATCTGGGAATTCTCAGGGAGCCGTGGCCTGACAGCTGGGATCCCAGGGATCCCAGGAATTGGGAATGCTGGGGGAAGCTGTTACCCGACAGGTGGGATTCCCAGCATTGGGAATACCGGGGAATCTGTGCCCTGACAGTTGGAATTCCCAGGATTTGGGAATTCTGGGATCTGTGCCCTGACAGGTGGGATTCCCAGGATCAAGAATTCTGGGGGATCCAGGCCCTGATATGTGGGATTCCCAGGATGGGGAATTCTGGGATCCATGCCCTGACAGGTGGGATTCCTGGGATTGGGAATTCTGGGATCCAGGCCCTGACATGCTCCCTTGCAGGTGGATTGTTCTTCTGGGGCGCCACCAACACCTCCCGGGAATCCACCATGTACCCCAAGGCTGTGCAGGATCTGTGTGGGTGGAAGATCCGCAGCCTGGCCTGCGGGTGAGTGCGGCTCTGGGAATTCCCACCCCATCCCGGGATTTGGAGTGCTGGGACACTCAGGGATCAGGGATTGCCTCCCTTGCAGGAAGAGCTCTGTCATCGTGGCGGCCGACGAGAGCACCATCAGCTGGGGGCCCTCGCCCACCTTCGGGGAGCTGGTACTGAATGACACCCCAAAAAAACCCCAAACAGCATCCCAAAAACCCCAAATGACACCCCAAATAAAACCCCAAACAGCATCCCAAAAACCCCAAATGACACCCCAAATAAAACCCCAAACAGCATCCCAAAACCCCCAAATGACACCCCAAATAAAAACCCAAATCCCCCAAACTGACACCCCGAACCCATCATCAGCTGGGGGCCCTCACCCACCTTCAGGGAGCTGGTACCAAATGACACCCCAAAAACCCCAAACAGTCACCCCAAATCCACCAGGGAACCCAAGATGGACACCCCAAATCCCTCAAACCCTGGGACCTGGCCCCTCTGGCCCCACTGAGCATTCCCTGTCCATGGGATGTTCCCACAGGGATATGGGGACCACAAACCCAAATCCCCCAAAGGGACATCCCAAATCCCCCAAACCCCACTGACTGTTCCCTGTCCATGGGATGTTCCCACAGGGATATGGGGACCACAAACCCAAATCGTCCACGGCGGCGCAGGAGGTGAAAACCCTGGACGGGATCTACACCGAGCAGGTGAGGGGACCCCACAGGCTTGGGGTGGGGGATGCACAGGGGGGCTCATCCCACCTGTGGGGTGAGGGGGTGGACATAGGGATGAGTGGGAGAATCATTTGGGGTGGCTGAGGCCATGGCCAGCTCATCACACCTGTGGTGCCCTTCCCCTAAAATGAACAGGGACACTGAGGCCATACGCAGCTCATCCCACCTGTGGGGTGAGGGAGGGGGCACCCTCCCCTTAGGTAAACCCAGGGGCTGAGGCCATGCCCAGCTCGTGACACCCGTGGCGTGATGGAGAGGGGTCACGTGGGGCCATTCCCTAAAATAAACAGGGAAACTGAGGCTGTGCCCAACTCATCACATCCATGGGGTCATGGAGAGGGCGCATGGAGCTGTTCCCTAAAATAAACAGGGAAACTGAGGCCGTGCCCAGCTCGTGACACGCATGGGGCCCTTCCCCTAAAATAAACAGGGCAGCTGAGGCTGTACACAGCTCATCACACCTGTGGGGTGATGGAGGGAGGACACCAGGGGCTGTTCCCTAAAATAAACGGGGAAACTGAGGTTGTGCACAACTCATCACATCCATGGGGTCCTCCCCTAAAACAAACAGGGAAACTGAGGCCATACACAGCCCATGACACCCATGGACGATGTGCATGAATCCCCCTTTAAATAAACCCAGGGGCTGAGGCCATACACAACTCATGACTCTGGGATCCATTCCCCAAAATAAACAGGGACACTGAGGCTGTGCCCAGCCAATGACAATGGGTTCCATTCCCCAAAATAAACAGGGACACTGAGGCTGTGCCCAGCCCATCACACCCATGGGTGATGTGGGAGGACAAATCCTGGGGCTGAGGCCGTGCCAGCTTGTGACACCCGTGGGTGCCCTGCAGGGGGTGCAGGGCCCTTCCCTAAAACTCCCTTGGGATGCTCCAGCCCAGCCTGGATCTCAGCAGGTGGGAGGATCCCCAGGAGGGATCCCCAGGAAGGCTCCAGATCCCCTCAGCTCCTCGTTTCCTTTTCCATGGGCAGTGTCTGCTCCCAGGTGACCCTTCCCAGTTCCATGGGCATTCCCACTCCCAGCTGACCCATTCCTGTTCCAGCTGGCCCATTCCCATTCCAGGTGGCCATGGGCTATTCCCAGCTGACCCATTCCCGTTCCAGGTGGCCACGGGCTATTCCCACTCCCAGCTGACCTGTTCCCATTCCCATTCCAAGTGGCCTTGGGCTATTCCTACTCCCAGCTGACCCATTCCTGTTCCCGTTCCAGGTGGCCATGGGCTATTCCCACTCTCTGGTGATCGCCCGGGACGAGTCGGAGGCGGAGCAGGAGAAGCTGCGGAAGCTGCCGGAGTACAACCCCCGCACCCTCTGAGGGGCCCTGATCCCAATCCCGATCCTGCTCCCGCTTCTCCATCCCGGCCGCTGTGCTCCCTCCCTTTTCCCGCACTCCCAGCCCTCGGGGGGGTCATTCCCACCCCCATTCCCGGCTTTAGGAATTCCCGACCACAGCCGGGCTTTCCGGCACGTCCCGCCCCGGGTTTTGTAGGGTCTGCCCTTGAATTATTTTTTATTTTATTTGTATTTTTCCGCAGCTTTTTTTTACTGTTTTCCATTTTTCCAGCCCCGAATCTCCGTGGCTGCCAGCTTGGGATCACTTTGGGGATCTGATCCCAGCTTGGGATCCCTTTAGGGATCTGGGATCCCTAAAGAGCAGCCGCCAATGCCTGGTTTTCCCCCTATATTCCCATTTTTTCCCCCCAGTATTCCCATTTTTTGCTGGTTTTCCCTACTCTGGGTGCTACAGTTTTCGGGATTTCCCCCTCCCACCCCTCCAGCATCCGCAGGGATCCCAGATCCCATCCCAGAGGCATTCCCGGATCCCATCCCAGCAGCATTCCCAGGCTCCCCGCCCTCGCCCACCCCGGGGACATCTCAGGGATCACGAGGGGAGTCCCAAAGGAATTTTTTTCCCGGGAATTCGGAGTTTTTTCCTTCTGGCGGATGGTTTGGCCCGGGATCAGCCGGAATTCCCGCATTCCCAGTTCCCTCCGTGCCAGGTCACTGTGCTGGAATCTCGAGGTGCCTTCAGGAGCAGAGCCCAGCTCTGCCCCGCGCCATTCCCGCTCCCTTTGGGCCGTTTTTAGGGATTCTCCTGGATTTTTCCATGGATTTTTGCTCCTTCCCATCTCCCCCGGGGCGGCGCTCGGGGAGTTTGCAGTAAAAAATAAATGGGTTTTGGTCAATTTTTGGGATCGGGAGTTGTTTTCCAGGAGGTTTGGAGAGGGGAGATCCCAGCCAGGGAGAGTAGCCGGCGGGAAAATCCCAAATCCTGCTTTTTTAGCAGTGTTTAGGATTTGGGGGTGGGGAATCCCCAAAACCCCCTTGGAGCCCCAAAAGCTGTTGGGGGGTTGTTCCCACATTCCAGAGGGGCCATTCACACATTCCTGAGGAATTCCCAGGTTTGGGAAGGATCCAGGAGGGTCATGAGGGTCATTCCTGGGGAATTCCAGAGTTCAGGAAGGATCCAGGAGGGTCATTGCCGAGGAATTTCCAAGTTGGGGAAGGATCCAGGGGGGGGCCATTCCCTGGGAATTCTCGAGTTTGGGAAGGATCCAGAGGGGCCATTCCTGCATTCCCGAGGGTCATTCCTGCATTCCTGAGGAATTCCCACCTCGGGAAGGATCCTGGAATGCCATTCCTGCATTCCCATGGGGTTATTCCTGTATTCCTGGGGAATTCCCATCTCAAGAAGGATCCTTGGGGGTCATTCCCGGAGAATTCCCAGGTTCGGGAAGGATCCAGGGGTGCCATTCCTGCATTCCCAAGGGGCCATTCCCACATTCCTGAGGAATTCCCAGCTCAGGAAGGCTCCAGGAGGAGCCGGGGTAGGATCCCGGGATTTTTGTCTTCCTCGGAGCCACCCTTGGCTTCCATCGGTTGGAGTTTAAAAATTCCCATTTTCCACGTTCAGTCCCTGATTTTTGGCATCTTTGCTTCTTCATTTTTCAATATTCAATTTTTAGTTTTACTTTTTTTTTCTTCAAGTTTTATTTTTATTTTATTTTTCATTGTTTTTTATTTCATCACTCTCCTCATTTTAATTCTTAGTTTTTTGTTTGGTTCTTATTATGAATTCGACTTTGAACTTCATTTTTTTCCTTTTTATTTTTTATTTTATTCTATCAAAATTTCTTCATTTTAACTTCTACTTTTTAATTTGGTAAATCCAAATTTGAACTTCATCTTTTCCTTTCTATTTCTCCTTTTTCAATTCTGTATTTTAATTCATCTTTTATTTGTATTCCTAATTTTTACTTGCTTAAATTCCAAATTCTTCTTTTAATATTTATAATTCAAGTTCAATTTTAACATTTATTTCATATTTTTACTCTAATTTTCATTTTAATTCAATTTTAATAGTTATTTCTATTTCTTACTCTAATTTTCCATTTTAATTCAACTTTAATATTTATTTTATATTTTCCCTCTCATTTTTAATTTTATTTTTTTATTCTACTTTTCATTTTCTATTTTCAACTTCGCTTTTTTATTTTACCTTCATTTTTTAACGTTAGTGTTTAAATTTAAACTTCAATTTTTTCCTTCTTTTCCTTCTTTTTCCTTACTTTTTTCATTTGTAACATTTAATTTCTATTTTTTTACTCCGTATTTTTCAATTTTCAATATTTCCATCCTTTTATTTTAATTCAAGTCAAAACTTGAAATTTTCATTTTTAAAATTTTTTATTTCATTTTTTATTTCCCTGTTTTGTTCCCGAAGGGTCCTGGAGCTGACACTACCTTTTCCCAAATCCCAATCCAGGCTCCATCCCAAACAATTCCCACTCCCATTTTCCCTCTGGAACTCCATGGGGATGCAGCTCTGGGATCAGGAGTTCCTGTCCCGTTTTCCCTCTGGAATCCTTTAGGGACACAGCTCTGGGATCAGGGATTTCTGTTATGTTTTCCCTCTGGAATTCCATGGACATACAGCTCTGGATCAGGGGTTCCTGTCCCGTTTTCCCTCTGGAATTCCACAGGGACACAGCTCTGGATCAGGGGTTCCTGTCCCATTTTCCATCTGGAATCCCATGGGGATCCAGCTCTGGGATTGGGGGTTTCTGTCCCATTTTCCCTTTGGAATTCCTCAGGGATGTGGCTCTGGGATCAGGGGTTCCTGTCCCATTTTCCCTCTGAAATCCCATGGGGATGCAGCTCTGGGAGCAGAGGTTCCTGTCCCTGTGTGGGATCGCTCCAGGGAAAGGTTGCGGATTCCGTCCCTCTGGAATTCCAGCACGGCTCAGACACGGCCATGGCCCCGTCCAGATCCCGCTCGGACAGGGATGGATCCCAGGGTGGGATGGGGATGGGATGAGAGTGAGCAGGGATTGGGAATGGGAATGAGGCAAATTGTGGGAATGGGAATGGCGGTGGGAATGGGAATGAGCTGGAAATGGGAGTGGGAGTGGGAATGAGAATGAGCAGGGGAGGGGGGACTCTGCCCCTGCAGAGCTGCCCCAGCCCTGGGCAGCACAGGGAGGAGCTGGAGCCAGCCCAGAGGAGGCTCCAGGGGGATCAGAGGGATGGAGCAGCTCTGCTGGGAGGAAAGGCTGGGAGAGCTGGGAATGTTCACCCTGAGAGGAGAAGCCCCAGGGAGAGCTCAGAGCCCTTCCAGGGCCTGAAGGGGCTCCAAGAGAGCTGGAGAGGGACTGGGGACAAGGATGGAGGGACAGGACACAGGGAATGGCTTCAAACTAAAGAGGGACAATTTGTATTGGGATGTTTGGGATAAATCTTTCACTATGAGGGTGGGAAGGGGCTGGGATGGAATTCCCAGAGCAGCTGTGGCTGCCCCTGGATCTCTGGACGTGCCCAAGGCCAGGCTGGACATTGGGGCTTGGAGCCACCTGGGACAGTGGGAGGTGTCCCTGCCCCTGAGAATGGATTAGCTTGAAGGTCCCTCCATCCCAACCATCCCATGATCCTGTAATTCCATGATTCCATAATTCCCTGAACCCACGTGGATTTTGGCACAGGGACAGTGGCTCCAGAGCGCCATCCCACCCATTCCCCACCAGTTTAACCAGTCCAGTGTTCTCCCAGTGCCAGGAGAGCCCTGCAGAGCCCCCGTGGCTGCAGCCCGGATTTATTTCTGCCACCAAAGGCACTTGGCAGGGACAGGACAGGGACTGGGGCAGGAGGGGACACGGAGGGGCCGGAGCCACCTCAGGGCACCATGTGCCACCACTTGAAGGCGAAGGGCTTGCGGCGCACGTTGGTGCCGCAGTGGACCTCGCCCAGCAGGACGTGGTAGGAGAAGAAGTCGTCGATGAAGGTGCAGGAGAGGCCCAGCGGCTCCAGCAGCTCCCGCACGCGCTGCTCCAGGCAGCAGCTCCCGCCCACCACGGGCCCGAAGGGCTTGGGGATGCCCAGGTGCCGGCCCAGCACCAGCATGTTCACCTGGAGCAGCACGGGGAGTCCAGCAGGGAGCGGCCAGGAGCATCCCGATCCATCAGGGGACATCCCAGGCCAGGGACTTCCCATCCCTGATCCCACTCCAGGGAGCCTCCCCCCGGCCTCATCCTGGCCTGCGGACATCCCGGCCCTGATCCCATCAGGGCACATCCTGGCCCCGGGATATCCTGGCCCCAGTCCCATCAGGAAACATCCTGGCCCGGGGACATCCCAGCCCCAATCCCACCCCAGGGAGCATCCATACCGGCTCAGGGAATATCCCAGCCCTGATCCCATCAGGAAACATCCCACCCTGGGGAACATCCTGGCCCTGATCCCACCCCAGAAACATCCCAGCTCAAATCCCATCAGGGGACATCCCAGCCGCGATCCTACCCCGAGGAAACCCCAATCCCATCAGGGAACATCCTGGCCCAAATCCTGCCCTGGAGAGATCCCAGCCCGATCCCACCGTCGGGAGCATCCTGGCTCAATCCCACCAGGTTGCATCCTCACCCCAGTCCCAGCCTGGGGCCATCCCAGCCCTGATCCCATCAGGGAACATCCCAGCCCCAACCCCAAGCCCATCAGGGAACATCAGAGCCCCAATCCCAACCCCGATCCCACCCTGGGGAGGTCAGGGGTGCTGCTACCATGTCCGGGAAGAAGGCCTCGGCCTCTGAGGCGGCGTTGCTCTGGAAGAGCTGCGGGATGTCCAGGATGTCCGGCTCGGCCAGGCCCAGCGAGCGCTTCAGGATGTCCCGGTTCCAGCTGATGCAGCTCTGGGAGCCACCAGGGAGGGAGGGTCAGTGGGAGAGGGAGGGGAGGGAGGGACAGGGAGAGGGACAGTGGGATGAAGAGATGGAGGGACAAAAGGATGGAGAAATGGAAGGACAAAGTGGGGGGAAAGGGATGGAGGAACAAGGAGATGGACAGTGGGATGGGGAGATGGAGGGAGAGGGCATGGGGAGATGGAGGGACAAAGGGAGGGAAAGGACAGAGGGATGGACATTAGGATGGGCAGGTGCCTGGAGGGAGGGATGGACAGAAGGGTGGGCAGAGAGGTGAATAGAGGGATCCATGGATGGAGGGATCCATGGAGGGAGGGATGGATGGAAGACTGGACAGAGGGAGAAATGGATGGAAGGAGGGAGAGAGCAGTGGGGAGACGGATGGAGAGGAGGGTGGTGACGGAGGATGGGAGGAGGGATGGAAGGGAGGAAGGAGGGATGGGGGGACAAAAGGACATGGAGGGAGCGATGGGTTGGAGCCTCCTGCTCCCCGTCCTCACCTGGGCGTAGTCATTGAACTTGCGGAGCTCCTCATTAGCCAGGATCTCGTTTATGGTGGGTTTGGGCACCCTGTCCAGCCCTGCCAAGAGGGAGCCAGGCTGGAATTCTGTCCCAGCTCAGCTGGGCTCAGACTCCAGCTCTGACTCTGGAGCTCCATCCCAACCCTGCAATCCACCCCCTGCAGCTTTTAATTAGTTAATTAATCACTTGTACTCCATTCTGCCCCTACTTCCCAGCTGGCTTCCAGAGTCCATCCACCTCTCCCATCACATTTTGCAGGAAAAAGGGGAAACAAACCCGCAGATCCCTACTGCCCATCCTGCCCTACCCTGGAACATCGCAGCCTCGCCGAACCCCTCCTCCTGCTTCTCCTTCAGGAGCTGGTAGCAGGCGCTGGGGCTGGCCAGGAGCAGCCGGAATCCCTGTGTGGGAGGAGGAGGAGGTCGGGGAGGACTCTGAGGGTCTCATCCCGCTTTTTTCCACTCCCGGGACCCGTTACCTTCCGGTCAGGCGCGGGGACGAAGCTCAGGAACTCGTCCACATGCCCGACGTTGAGCCAGTCCGAGAAGAGCTCCACGGGCGCCTGCACCTTCTGGGCCACCAGGAAATCCCGCACGGCCTTGGCCATCCTGCGGCCGCCCACCCTGGGGGAGCGCCGGGGCTTGGGGGAGGCTCCGCTCAGAGCCGACCCCCAACGGGGCCGGGAAACCCTGGGTCGGGGCTTTTCCTGCTCCCGGCTCACCTGGGGAAGCTGCTGCCGATCAGGATGCGCCCCAAGGGGTACTCCTTGCCCCGCACCGTCACGGGCGGGCTCACCTCCAAATTCCCGAAGGAATCCAGGCTGGAAACGCCCTCTGGAGCCTGCCGGGCCACGTAGCCAAAATCAGGGCCCTGGGCAGGGGAGAAACGGGAGACAATGGTTAAAAAAATGCAGCTGTCAGCACCAAATCCTCTGTGCTGGAGCATCCCACCCCAAAAATGCAGGAAATAGAAAGGATTTATCCCTTTTTTTAGGGGATTTATCCCAGTTTTTAAAGGGATTTATCCCAGTTTCTACGGGGTTGCCAAGCTGGGCGAGGCAGGAGGAAGGAGCTGGATACCAGGATGCTCCTGACGGGAAAATCCTTCAGGCCGCGGTCCCGGGGCGAGTCAAAGACCACAGGGAGAGTCTTGTGGGGGGCTTGGATGTAGCCAAACTCCACCTCATCCTGGAGAAGGGATGGAGAATTTTGGGAATCCCCCCAGAGCTGCTGTGGCGAGGAGGGGCCGGGCACACCCTGCTCCCACCTGGATCCAGCGGTCCTGTTGGTTCTGCGGCACCGGGCACACGGTCAGCGGGCACTGCGCCCGCTCAGCCAGCGCGCCCACGGCCGCCACAAACTCCTCATTCTTGGCCACACTGGGGGGAAAACAGGAAAATCGGGATTTGGGAGTGGATCTGGTGGTGGGCAGGGTGGGAACACCCAGCACCCACCTGCAGACAAAGACCTCGAGCGGGGCTGCAGTGTTGGGCGTCATGATCCAGGGAGCCACGCGGAACACCACGGAGTCCGTGAAGATCGGTGCCTCCAGGAGGCCCTGGGATGGCAGGAATGGAATTTGGGATCTGTCCCTCATGTCCCTGGAGTGGCAGGGATGGAGTTTGGGATCTGTCCCTGCTGTACCATTTCCTCCTGGGGAGGAAAAATTGAGGGAAAAGTGGGAAAATGGGAGTTCTGAGCAGTGGTAGAAAGGGAAAATTGAGGGGAAAATGGGAAAATTAAGGTTCTGGGATGGCAGGGATGGAGTTTGGGATCTGTCCCCGCTGTCCCAGCCCACCCTGGCATGGCGGGGATGGAGTTTAGGAACTGTCCCTGCTGTTCCAGCCCTCCCCGGGATGGCAGGGATGGCGTTTGGGATCTGTCCCAAACCATCCCACCCCCCGTGCCCCCTGGCCAGACCTTCTCGGGGCTCTCGAGCAGGGTGACGTGCAGGGACACGAGGCCCGAGAAGGCCACGTCGGGGAAGGCCAGGCCCTCCACGTAGAAGACGCTCTCATGGTGGTGCCGGCTCGGCCGCACGGTGTAGGCCAACTTGGAGCCCCCCAGGACGGGCTTGAACATCTCCAGCTCTGCACCATCTGTGGGACACGGACACCTCAAACCCAAAGCCCAGCCCTGTTCCCATAGCGTTCCCCCTTGGTCCCTAAAGCCGCCCCAAACCCCGCGGGGAGCGAACCCTGCCTGGATCAGCCCAACCCCGCCTGGGGCGTTGGAGAAGCAATGCAAGGATTTGGGATTGATCCCGGTGAGCCGGGGGGTCCGTGCCCCCAAAATCCCCCCAGATCCCCCCAAATTCTCCCAAATCCCCCAAATCCGAGCACTCACTGCCGCCGTAGAAAACCCTGATCTTGTCGGCGTCGCCGAAGTCCAGGTGCAGCAGCAGGCGGTGCCCGGCGAAGGTGGCACGGGGCCCGCGCGTCCTCAGCACCAGCTGCGCCATGTCCTGCAGGTCTGGGGAACGGGCACGGCTCAGGAAAATGGTGGGGGGGGAAATGGGGAAAGAGGGAAAATTGGGGAAAAAGGGGAAAATCAGGGAAAAGGGGGAAACTGAAGGAGAAGGGGAAAACCCAGGGAAAACGGGGAAAGCAGAGGAAAACTGAGGGAGAAGGGGGAAACTAAGGGGAAAGCTAGGGGAAAAGGGGAAATCTGGGGGAAAAGGGGAAAATGGAGGGAAAAGGGGAAAACCAAGGGAAAAGGGGGAAACCCAGGGAAAACTGAGGGAGAAGTGGGAAAACTGGGGGAGAAGTGTGAAAATTGGGTGTTCCTGGCTGTGGTAGGGAGGGAAAACTGAGAGAGAAGTGGGAAAATGGCAGGTTCTGGGCTGTGGAAGAAAGGGGAAATTGAGAGAAAAGTGGGAAAATTTGGGCTCAGGGCTGCAGTAAGAATGAAAAATTGAGGGGAAAGTGGGAAAACTCAGGGAAAAGGGAGGGAAAACTCAGGGAAAAGTGGGAAAAGGGAGAGAAAAGTGGGAGACGGGGTCTTGGGGCTGTCGGGACCGTTGTAGGAGCGCACGACGCTGTCCTCGTTGTCCAGGCCCTCGGCGCCGGGGTCGTCGCGGTCACAGTTGACGAGCAGGATGGCCCCGTGGCCCTCGGGGCCCCACGTCCAGCTGGCCTGGGGGACACGGAGCGGGGCCGGGCTCAGCTGGGAATTCCCAATCCCATCGGGGTCTGGGGCTCATCCAGGAATTCCCAATCCCATTGGGGTCTGGGGGCTCATCCAGGAATTCCCAATCCCATCGGGACCTGGGGAGCTCATCCAGGAATTCCCAATCCCATCGGGGTCTGGGGCTCAACCAGGAATCGCCAATCCCATTGGGGTGTGGGGCTCAGCCAGGAATTCCCAATCCCCTTAGGGTCTGGGGGCTCATCCAGGAATTCCCCATCCCATTGGTGCTTGAGGCTCATCCAGGAATTCCCAATCCCATCAGGGCCTGGGGGGCACATCCAGGAATTCCCCATCCCATTGGTGCTTGAGGCTCATCCAGGAATTCCCAATCCCATCGGGGCTTGGGGGCTCATCCAGGAATCCCACGGTGTTCCCAGCCCCTCTGGATACCTTGTCCAGCAGTGTCCGGCTCACGGCCCCGCTGCGGGTGACATCAGCGTCCAGTGACACCTCTGTGGGACAGGGGTGAGATGGGAAAAGGGGAAATCCCGGGAAGGGGGGTTTGGGAATGGGGAATGGAGGCTGGGGAATGGGGGCTTTGGAGTGGGGGTTGGGAATAGGGTTGGGGAATGGGAGGTTGGGGACAGTAATCTCGGGATCCCGCGGGAATCCCAACACCCAGCAGGATCCCAGGATCCAGCAGGAATCCCAACACCCAGCGGGAATCCCAACACCCAACAGTAATCTCGGGATCCCGCGGGAATCCCAACACCCAGCAGTCCAGCAGGATCCAACAGGAATCCCAACACCCAGCGGGAATCCCAACACCCAACAGTAATCTCGGGATCCAGCGGGAATCCCAACACCCAGCAGGATCCCAGGATCCAGCGGGACCGCCAGGACCCAGCGGGATCCATCTCGCACCTTCTCGTCGCCCACGTCCTTGCTGGGGCGGTCCATGGCCAGCAGCAGCTCGGGGCCGGGGCCCAGGGGCCAGCGGCAGACGCTCGAGGGCAGCTTCACGCTCCGCGCCTCGTGCAGCACCCAGAGCTTCACCCCCGGCGTGGCCTGGGCCTGGAAGGAGGCGGCGCCGTGCGGGGCCGAGCTGCAACAGGGAGCGTGGTCAGGGCAACGGGAATTCTGCCAGGAACGGGGCTGAGCTCAAACAGTCCTGGGAAACACGACCTCAGCAAGGGCTGGGATGTGGAATTGGGGTAAAGCCTTCCAAAGGGAGCAAATCCCGGGGTTTGGAATATCAACTAGTCATGGAAAATTCAAATATTGCTGGAAAATTCAAATATTCCTGGAAAACTCAAATATTCCTGGAAAACATGACCTCAGCAAGGGCTAGGATGTGGAATTGGGGTAAAGCCTTCCAAAGGGAGCAAATCCCGGGGTTTTGAATAACAACTAGTCATGGGAAATTCAAATATCGCTGGAAAATTCAAATATTCCTGGAAAACACAACCTCAGCAAGGGCTGGGATGTGGAATTGGGGTAAAGCCTTCCAAAGGAAGCAAATCCCTGGGTTTGGAATATCAACTAGTCATGGAAAATTCAAATATTCCTGGAAAATGCGATTTCAGCAAGGGCTGAGATATGAAATTGGGGTAAATCCTTCAATGGGGAAAAAATCCTGCAACTTAGAATGACAGCAATTAGTGCAAAATGCAGCGAAGCCTGGGAAATACAGCTGCAATAAATCCTGCAATATTCAGTTGCAGGAGATCCTTCAATATGGAACAAATCTTGAAACTTTGAATATCAACAAATCCTAAAAACTGTAAATAATACTGGAAAATGCAAAGGCAAGAAGTGCTGAGATGTGAAACTCTGATAAATCCTTCAGTGTGGAACAAACTCTGAAATTTAGAATTATGAGAAATCCTGAAAAATTGAAATAATCCTGGAAAAAGCAACTGCAGCAAGCCCTGAGATATGAAATTGTTATAAAATCTTTAAAATGAACAAACCCTGAAATTCAGAATAGCAACAGATTCTGAAAAATTGAATGAATCCTGAAAAATGCAACTGCAGCAAGTGCTGCAAGATGAAATGGGGACAAATCCTTCAGAGTGGAACAAATCCCATAGCAAATCCTGCAACCTGGAATTGCATCGATTCCCTGGATAGGCACAAATCCCCCAAAACGTGCGGGCAGCCGCTCCTGGAAGAGGCAATTCCCACAAATCCCCAAATGCGATTAAAGCAAATCCCGCCCGAGGCTGCGAACTCGGGGCAAGGCGGCGGCGCCAACCCCGCGGCAGGAATCCCTGAAAAAAACCCAAATCCGGGGATATTCCGGGTGCAAAGAGAGCCTGGGAATAAACGGGAATAGGCGGGAATGAAGCCCGCGGAAAGAACCGCAGGGATCGCTCCGAAATGCCCCAAATCCGGGGATATCCCTGGTGCAAGGCGCGCCCCGTCCTGCCATGGGTAACGGGAATAAACGGGAATAAATCCCACAAAAATAATCGCAGGAATCGCTCTGAAACGCCTCAAATCGTGGGAGAAAACGCGCGAACCTCCCGAGGGCAGCGGGGACGGGCAGCGATCGGTGCCGGCGCTGCCCGGGGATGGTTTGGGCTCGGATCTCCCCAAAATCGGCATTTCCGAGCGCGGCTGGGCAGGCCGGAGCCCGCCCCGGCCCGCCCCGCTCGGGAGGCCGCGGGCGAGGGGCCCGGAGCGGGTCCGGACCCGGGAGAAGGAAACGCGGCTCCGTGCCCGGGAATGGGAAAATCCCGGCGGGGCAGCGCGGGGAACGGGCAGAGAGCCCCGGCCGGAGCGGGGAGCGGGGAGCGAAACCCCGGAGCTGCTGCGGAGCGAGAGCCGGAGCCGGACCGGAGCCGGGCCACGGGTTCGCTCTCCGCCTGCCCCCGAAAGTGGGAAATATTTCTTATTTCATCCCTCCGGGATGTGGGGCGCAGCGTTAAAACCCCAAAAAGGGCTTGTGGCACCCTAAAAGGAGCAAAATCCCGCTGGGAATGTTGTGGTCTCGCTGCTGCAGAGATGTTCGGAGTGTCTGTGAGGGACAGAGGGATGGACAGCGGGGATGGACAGAGGGATGAATAGCAGGATGGACAGAGGGATGGACAGAGGGGTGGACACTGGGATGGACAGCGGGATGGACAGAAGGATGGACAGAGGGATGGACGGTGGGATGGATGCTGGGATGGACAGAGGGATGAACAGCAGGATGGACAGTGGGATGGACAGAGGGATGGACACTGGGAAGGGACAGCGGGATGAACAGAGGAATGAACAGAGGGATGGACAGACGGAATGGACAAAGGGAATGGACACTGGGAAAGGACACTGGGAAGGGACAGCAGGGATGGACAGCGGGGATGGACACTGGGAATGGGCACTGGGAAGGGGCACCGGGAATCCCATCCCTCCCCCTTCCCGGGACAGTATCCCCTGGGAAAAGCCCCCGGAGCAGCAGCACCGCCCCCGCCCCACCGCGCGCTATTTTCGGGCTTTGGTTAATGGGATCAAGGGGGAAAAGCGGATTTGTGCCCCGCGCTCACCCGCACACGTCCAGGGCCAGCTCGGTGCCCAGCACGCACACGGTGCTGCCAGGGCGCTGCGTGGACAGCTGGACACGGCGCTGCTGCGCCATCGCGGCCGCCCCGGGCACCCTCGGGTGCCGCGCCCGGCGGCCGCGGGGGATTTATAAAGCCGGGCTGCTGGGAGGGGATCAGCCAAAGCCCGGCCTAATCCCACCTCCGGGCTGGGTGTGCGCGGGTCCAGCCGCGCTCCCGGCGATCGGAGCGGGGGGAAGCGGCCCGGGACGCCCACGGGATGTTCGGGGCTCCGGGGGGCTCGGGGCTCCGGTCAGCACCGAGGGACGCGGGGGGAGCGGTCCCCGTCCGGCCCACGCCGTGAAATATTCACCGCGACACCCGAGCCGCGCTGGGCCCGCGCCAGCGCCGGGCCCGGCCGGGTCTGATTTCTCTTTCTGCTGAAAGGTTTCATTTGTTCGGCCGGGACAATGCGCTGGAATTCTTCCTCCGGGGAGGGCCGGAGGGGCGGGAGAGCGCTCGCCCGGCTCCGCGGGGCGCTGCCGGGGGCTGTCACCTGCGCTGGGGACAGCGGACCCCCGGCGGCTTTAATCGCCTTTGTTTTAATTAAAGCCTCAGCTGCGCGTGGGAGCGGAGAGCCCTTTGTCCCTGCAGCTGTTCCCAAACCCCCTCCCCGCGGTCACGCGCGGCCCGGATTTAATGTCGCTCCTCGGGGCCCGGGAATATCAGCAGGGACACAGCCCCGGGGAATGGGGTTGGAAATGGGGTTAGAAATCCGCTTTTGGGGCAAAAAGAGGGTGGGTGAGTGGGATGTGTGGGAGCATCCCCTCGCGGGTTTCCAGCGCCGCAGGAGTTCGAGCCGCAGGTGCAGCTGCACCTCAGAAACGCTGCCAGGAGAGCAAATTGCCCAAAATAAGCCTGTCCGGCCCCAGAACAGCAGCGGGGCTGCGCAGGGCCGGGCCGTGCCCGGGGCACTGGGCGGGTTTCGGTTCCCGGGGCGGTGCCAGGCGGGTGCCAGGCGGGCACAGGGAAGTGTCGCGCTCCAGTGGAGAAGAAGAGCGGAGGGACACGGAAATTCCTTCCTGGAGAAGGCGTGAAAAGGTCCCGAGGAGGACAGGAGGGGTTCCTGCAGACTGAGAAACAGGTTCCCCAGCAGGAAGCGATTTTTTGGCCAAAACAGGGAATTTTGGGGGTGTCATCAGCTGCAAAGCCGCGGGTGAGAACTCCGTGACCCCGCGGCCGTGGGATGGGGCCTGCACCCCCCAGAGCAGCCTCCCCACCCCCGCTGTGCCCACCAGCCCCAAACCAAACCCCGTGCCCAAAACCAGGCTCCAAACAACAACTTCACGCCGGGAGGGGAGGAAGGAAGGACGAGAGATGGGGAAGCGCTGCCCCCTCAGTGTCCGTGAAGCTTTATTGGCCAAACCCGAGCTGTCGGTGCTTTTCCAGCGCAGGAAATGCACCTTCCCCTTGGGCTGCAGGAAATGCACCTTCCCCTGCAGGATCCGGCCCAGGATCAGGGCACCAGCGGGGTCAGGGCACCATGTGCCACCACTTGAAGGCGAAGGGCTTGCGACGCACGTTGGTGCCGCAGTGGACGTCCCCCGACAGGACATGGTAGGAGAAGAAGTCGTCGATGAAGGTGCAGGAGAGGCCCAGCGGCTCCAGCAGCTCCCGCACGCGCTGCTCCAGGCAGCAGCTCCCGCCCACCACGGGCCCGAAGGGCTTGGGGATGCCCAGGTGCCGGCCCAGCACCAGCATGTTCACCTGGAGCAGCGTAAGGAGTCCAGCAGGGAGCAGTCCCGGGGGACTGGGATCGGGGCAGGGTTGTGGGGTTGGGGTCTCACCATGTCCGGGAAGAGCGCATCAGCGCGGGAGTTGGTCAGGATGAAGAGCTGCGGGATGTCCACGATGTCCTGCTCGCTCAGCCCCAGCTCCTGCTTCAGCAGGTCGCGGTTCCAGTCGATGCAGCGCTGTGGGAAGAACCTGGAACTGCCATCCCCGCCCTCCACATCCCGCCCTGGACCCCGCTGGATCCTGCATAGATCCCACCCCATCCAAGGGAACAACCTCCCGCCCCATCCCTGTGCACAACCTCACATCCCATCCCTCTGGACACCTCACATCCCATCCCATCCCATCCCATCCCATCCCATCCCATCCCATCCCATCCCATTCCCATCCCATCCCATTCCCATCCCATCCCCATCCCCATCCCATCCTCTCTTTCCCTTCAGCTGCCACCTCCCTTTGGTCATCTCCCTCTCCTCGCCCACTCCAGGCACCCCGGCCATGCCCCAGGACCCCAATCTCCTCCCTGCACCCCAGAACCCCCTGGAATGAGGAGGGGGACCCCCCGGGCCTGGGGTCCCACCTGCACGTGGCGGTTGTCGCTGCGCAGGGACTCGTCCGCCAGGATCTCGTCGATGCTCTTCTTCTCACTGCCCTTCAGCCCTGGGGTGTGGGAGCAGTCAGGGACAGAGGGATGGACAGTGGGATGGACAGCAGGGATGGACACTGGGAATGGACAGCAGGAGGGGACACTGGGAAGGGACAGTGGGATGGACATGGGAATGGATACTTGGAAGGGAGAGCAAGAAGGGACAGCAGGAATGCTGTTCCCTAGGGATGTCCTCAGCCAGCCCTCACCGATGAACTGCGTGGCCTCCCCGTGGCCCTGCTGCTGCTTCTCCTTGAAGAGTTTGTAGCAGGCGTTGGGACTGGCCAGGAGCAGCCGGAATCCCTGCGGGACAGAGCCCGGGGGTCACCCCCGGTGTGGGGGATAAAACACCCCAGAGTCCAGCTGGGAGGCACCGCGGCCATCCCAAACCCAGCCCTGGGGCCACGGGATGGCCACAGAGATCCCAAATCCAGCCCTGGGCCATGAGATGCCCACAGCAATCCCAAATCCATCCCCCTCGGCCATGAGATGCCCATAGAGATCCCAAATCCATCCTTGGGGCTATGAGATGCCCACAGCAATCCCAAACCCAACCCCCTGGGCCGCCCCAAAGGGGCTCCATCCCCCAGAGCCCCTGGAAGGACAAACAGCTGGCAAAGGGGATTTTTGGGGTGCTGGAAAGAGCCCCGGGGAGGCTCCGGTGTCGGCACCTTCCTGTCCAGGGCAGGGACGAAGGTGAGGAACTCGTCCACGTGGGCCACGCTGAGCCACTCCGAGTAGACCTCGAGCGGCGCCTGCACCGTCTGCGCGAAGAGGAAATCCCGCACGGCCCGGCACATCCTGCGGCCGGCCGTCCTGCGGGACAGGCTGGGTGGGCACCGCTCCGGCCCCAAACCCTGCCCCGAACCCGCTCTCCTCCCTCAAACCCGGTCCCCAAAGTCCCCTCCCCACCCCAAAACCCACTCCCCGCCTCAAAACCTGCTCCCCTTCCTAAAACCTGTTTCCCGCCCCAAAACCCACTCCCCAAAATCCTCCCCAAAACCCCTCCCCAAAACCTGCTCCCCAAAATCCCCCCCCCGCCCCCAACCCCCCCCCCCCCCCCCAAAACCCCCCCTCCCCCAACCCCCCCCCGTCCCATTCCCCGTTCCCATCCACATTCCCATCCCGTTCCCGTTCCCATCCCGTTCCCATCCCATCCCATCCCATCCCATCCCATTCCCATCCCATCCCATTCCCATCCCATCCCCATCCCCATCCCATCCTCTCTTTCCCTTCAGCTGCCACCTCCCTTTGGTCATCTCCCTCTCCTCGCCCACTCCAGGCACCCCGGCCATGCCCCAGGACCCCAATCTCCTCCCTGCACCCCAGAACCCCCTGGAATGAGGAGGGGGACCCCCCGGGCCTGGGGTCCCACCTGCACGTGGCGGTTGTCGCTGCGCAGGGACTCGTCCGCCAGGATCTCGTCGATGCTCTTCTTCTCACTGCCCTTCAGCCCTGGGGTGTGGGAGCAGTCAGGGACAGAGGGATGGACAGTGGGATGGACAGCAGGGATGGACACTGGGAATGGACAGCAGGAGGGGACACTGGGAAGGGACAGTGGGATGGACATGGGAATGGATACTTGGAAGGGAGAGCAAGAAGGGACAGCAGGAATGCCGTTCCCTAGGGATGTCCTCAGCCAGCCCTCACCGATGAACTGCGTGGCCTCCCCGTGGCCCTGCTGCTGCTTCTCCTTGAAGAGTTTGTAGCAGGCGTTGGGACTGGCCAGGAGCAGCCGGAATCCCTGCGGGACAGAGCCCGGGGGTCACCCCCGGTGTGGGGGATAAAACACCCCAGAGTCCAGCTGGGAGGCACCGCGGCCATCCCAAACCCAGCCCTGGGGCCACGGGATGGCCACAGAGATCCCAAATCCAGCCCTGGGCCATGAGATGCCCACAGCAATCCCAAATCCATCCCCCTCGGCCATGAGATGCCCATAGAGATCCCAAATCCATCCTTGGGGCTATGAGATGCCCACAGCAATCCCAAACCCAACCCCCTGGGCCGCCCCAAAGGGGCTCCATCCCCCAGAGCCCCTGGAAGGACAAACAGCTGGCAAAGGGGATTTTTGCCCCCGCCTCAAAACCTGCTCCCCTTCCTAAAACCTGTTTCCCGCCCCAAAACCCACTCCCCAAAATCCTCCCCAAAACCCCTCCCCAAAACCCCCCCTGGGCCGCCCCAAAGGGGCTCCATCCCCCAGAGCCCCTGGAAGGACAAACAGCTGGCAAAGGGGATTTTTGGGGTGCTGGAAAGAGCCCCGGGGAGGCTCCGGTGTCGGCACCTTCCTGTCCAGGGCAGGGACGAAGGTGAGGAACTCGTCCACGTGGCCCACGCTGAGCCACTCCGAGTAGACCTCGAGCGGCGCCTGCACCGTCTGCGCGAAGAGGAAATCCCGCACGGCCCGGCACATCCTGCGGCCGGCCGTCCTGCGGGACAGGCTGGGTGGGCACCGCTCCGGCCCCAAACCCTGCCCCGAACCCGCTCTCCTCCCTCAAACCCGGTCCCCAAAGTCCCCTCCCCACCCCAAAACCCACTCCCCGCCTCAAAACCTGCTCCCCTTCCTAAAACCTGTTTCCCGCCCCAAAACCCACTCCCCAAAATCCTCCCCAAAACCCCTCCCCAAAACCTGCTCCCCAAAATCCCCTCCCTGCCCCAAACCCCACTCGCCTCCCCAAAACCCC